TTTGAAGAGGCTCTCTTGCTTAAAACCACAAGAAAGAAAGTGCACAAGGAACAGCTATAAATGTATCTGACAGACTTCTCAGAGCACAGGGTAATGATTCTTCAAAGCAGTAAAGGGAGCTACTTCACTGCTATCAAACCCATGTGAACCACTGGCTCACTCAGCGGCTGTCAAGTCAGCAGAATCCCAACTATCAAATGTGACCTTGTCTGCCCCAGAGATCCCACCATGAGCGCACCCCGGACATGTCTCTGTACGGAGTTCTACTTCAGCTAGCCTTCTTCACCATTAGATTCAGTCACTCTTGCTCCAAACACTACCCCCTCCACGTAGCTTGGAGAACAGGTTACCTCATTGAAGCCAGATGGCGCATGGCCACGTCCAGCGCCTGGACTGATTCCAGAGGGACAGGGATCTGCCCGCTCACAAGGGCTTCATGCAGCATCCGCCAGCTCACGATTGCCATCCACTTTATGGAAACCTTAAAGATCCTGTCCTTGCCTTCTCCCGGAATTGTTACCTCAAAGTCAACCTGAGCCAGGAGGGAACAAGAGTATTTCAAGTCACTAGGAAGCTGCTAGGCAGGCTGCAGCCTAACAAGCCCCCAACACCACTGTAAACCCACTCCATTCCCCCATCGGGGCCCGGGGCTTTCCACTCGGATAGGGTGCATGTAGGAATGGCAGCACTGCCTAGCACAGCCACAGGAAGGAGTAGTGCCCTGGGTCCTAGTCCTGCCACTGACCTCTTGGATGGACTTGGGCAGGTCCCTGAACCATTTCTGCTTCTGGTATTGCCCCCTCATGCCCCCGGTGTCATCAAGGAAGTGTCTCTCGCTGCACATTCACAAAGAGCCCAGCCTGATAGGGTGCACTGTACCCTGTGCTCTGGTGTCCCCCAACAGCAAGATGGTAATAATGACGCTTCCCTTGTGACAGACTAAACAGCAAAGATCTAATCCCTTTCTTCCCCCACTTAGGCTTAGTCTGCATAGACACGGGTGTGCTTTACACAACCACAAGTTCTTCAGCTGCAGCATGGCCAGCATGCTCTCCCAACACCCCCAAGCTTCCTCTGTTCAGGTTTCATAGGTTTCTAAGCCTTGACATTGTATCTTTCTACACATGGGTTTTCAGGAAGCAAGTAGAGAGATTCACCCCCCTTCCTCTCTGCCGCCACCAGGACACCATCCACAGGCTCCTGCACCCAGCTCTCACCCGTTCATTTCCAATGGGCAAAGCAGTGACAGTGTAAATGTTTTTCTTCCCATCGTATACTGGCTTGCGGTCACCGAAGATCTGAGGTTTGAAGTGTTGTACCATATATTCCACCACCTCTCTACAGAGAAAAGTAGGAGCAAGAGAAAGGAAAAAAAAGAGAAGAGAAAGAAAAAGCTAACTGGAAAATTTATTTTGCCAACAGTTTAGTCTCATAGAAAAGAGCAGGTCACAAAGCCACCCACCCGCCCCCCTGCAAAAACTATTACACCAAAGTGGTCTTGTGATCTGGTTGTTGCCTATAGCCCAGCTATGAAAAATCCTGCCAGGACAGGAGGTCCCTCAGACAAACAAATGCTTGCCTTGCCAGTACCTTGTTAAATCAGCTATGGTATATCTAGTTTACAAGGTATGTGGGAATGGGCACCTGCACACACACAAGTTGGCAGAAGCCCCAAGCAGCATGCCAGCAAGGCAGGGAACAGTATTGGTGTCCCTGTGCAGACAAGCTGCCAAAAGGCCAGGCAATGGCAGAGGCATCTGCTTGCTGACCTCCCAAGATCAGCTTTTAAATATACTGCTGGGGGTCAAAGCCTCACACTGGCCCAAGGTCTGAAACTTGCTATTTTTATGTCTGGGACATCTGCCAAAATAGCACAGCTGCTCCAAGGGACTGTGCCAGAGTCCAGCATCTCCTGTGCCATCAGCACAGGGGGCAAATACAGACGCTACAGGTCTGCTTGCCTGCCATCTGGAGTCCTGTCTCCATTCCACAACCCTGGGCACAGAGCATGCTGGACTACAAACACGCTAGCTAACTCCAAGAAGAAACTCAGCTGTAATTGGCCTGTTTTTTTCCTAGAGAATGTGGTTGCTGCTGGACAGCCATGCCTGTAGAAATCAGCAGGGCTCTAGCATAGGCTCAAAAAGCAGATATCAGTGTTCAATGCACACCCACCATAAGCCAGAGGGAAGTAAAATATATAGGGTGAAATTTAGGCACCCTCAGACTTTCCTGTGAATGCAAATATGGCCTGGCCCATGGGTCGTAGGGGACTGAAGTAGAAAACAGTTAGTTCTGCTGTGGAAACATGAAGGCCCATGCTCTCTCAGAGAGAACCATCCACTGGAATTTCACAAAAAAAAAAAAAAAGCCATTAACCCCAATAGATTTTGCAGCAAAAAAATCCCAGCAGTTTCTTGGGACCTGGACACAGGCAATTACAGAAGAAACTTAATGCAAATTGCACATGGGTTGGGCTACAGCGTGGATTGAGCTAGAAAGTCACAGGGAGATCACCCTCCCACTTTCCACTGGAAAAGGCGGGTCTTCATCTTGACCAGAGAGCCAGGCAAGGACACAGAATGTGGAAGCCTCGAATACTTGCCTTACCTGTTGACTCTGCGTGGACATTTGTCGGGTTTGATATCCACTTCATAGTGATAGACATCGATCTTGGGAATGTCCACTTCAAAGTAGTTGGCCAAGAGCTTGATGGGCTTCCCGACGGTTCCTATCCCGGGCCGGCGTGGTGCTTGAAATACCTGCTGTAAGGGTGGCAGGTAAGCGCCCGCAGCTGTGAAGCAAGGGAGAGCATTAGAAAGTTGGCAGAACCACAGAAGATCCCATGAGGCAAGAATGCCAGGCAAAGGTTCTGGAGATAAGAGCAGAGATCCAAAAGGGGGCTTCCAGTTTGCTGCTGGTCCTCCTGTCTTCCAGACTCCATCTGCCATCCCGCAGCACTTATCTGCACAGGTTTGCTCTGTCACAACATCACAAGAGCAGGTTACAAATTTGGAAGAAGGATCAGAGCCCCTGGATATGGAAAGGGTCCCCGGGTTCTAGGATCCCCAATCCCTACGAGGGCCAAGTCTAGCTGATATTGCATTAGATGACCATACACATTGCTACACTTCCATTATGCCTTTCACTCACACAACTTCGAGCACCCTGCACACTTCAACCTCCCTACAGAGCCAACACTGCCCCCATTCTGCAAATGAAAGAAATGAAGTGCAGCAAAGTCATCTGTCCCAATTACACATGGATCCTGACTGCAAACACACCTGTAACACAGACCTCTAATCAGACACCTCCCAAGGGAGGCTGGCAGGCAAAGATGTTTTTTTTGGATGCCAAGACAGCTTTTGCCCTTCCCCCTGGCTTTAGAAGGGGGTCAGTAAGCTCCTACAGGTTTCTCCAACTTGCGCATCACTATCTTTGCTTACTCCTCACGCAGGAATGTAGAGACAAAGGACTGGAAGGGGTCTCCTACACCATCAACTCCAGCCCCTTGCCTTCACAGGTAATAGTTAACTAAAGGGATCCCCAACACCAATGCTTCAAGTTCTCACCCCCAGCTATGAGGAACAACATTCGAAACACCAAGGCCACACAGAGAACAAGGGCACTGCCAGTGCTTTGCAACTGCAGTAGAGAGAAGTACAGTAGTTAGCATGTGCTCAGTACAGCCTAGGAAGAGGACTGTGCTCCAGGTTGCAGAGGAAGGCACAACCTCACCCCGCAACTGTACCAAACCAGACATTACACACAGGTATCCAGAGTTACAGGAAGCTCCCACTCCTCTGCCACAGCAGTTTGGGCATGTGGAGCGTTCCAGGTCTTGAAGTGTAAATGCAACCTCCCACTGCTTCCTACAGGTCATTGCAATGGCATCCACCCAAGCCTGAAGGGCTTGAGGCAGGTGGAAGGCTTTGGATTATTAGAGACAAGTGTCCGGATAAACTGCCACCCAGGAAGAGCTGACCTTGGCTTTTACCACCCACCCCAGTCAAACTCCCAGCCGGAAATTCTCAGCCCAAACACCTCCGGCTATCCCATTCCAGAGGATGGCATCCACCCACTAAAAACACAACGGCGGCCAATCACCGCCCTGCCGGTAGGACATGTCTGCAAGGCAGTGACAGTCAAGTTAAACATGACCCACGCTGCTTCGTGACAAATGGAATTCTTTGTCCTAAGGACAGCACTATAAATAGATATGGGCCCTGTCAACCCCCAGGCCACCCGCTGCAGCAGAGAAGCACACACACTTGACAGTTTGCAGAGCAAGGTGGAGGGAGATGTCGTCAGTAAACCCCATGTAGGAGGGCGCTGCAATAAATCTTGCCCTTGGCCTCAGCCTGATGCTGCCAAGGGGGCTGCTGCTGGAGAGGTCAGATGCCTGCGAAAGGAGGACACGCTGGAAAAGCTCTTTGGGCTTATGATTAGTCACAACTGAACAGTTTCAATCCCACTGCAGGCCAGTTTCATTCTGCAGATCTGGTAGCCACGGGGCTTCCTGCACCAAAACAGAGCCTGAAACCAAACAGATTTCTATCCATGCTTGTGCTTCGCTGGCCAGTGGTCTATGCTAGAGGTTCCCAGCCCCCAGGGCACAGCCCAGTACGGGGTGGCGAATAGCTGGCTGCTGGTCCTCAGGAGGGTTGGCTGCTGGACCGCAAGTCCAGAAGTGACTGGCAAACTGCAGACCGGCAGCAAACCCCTTTTTTATACTGAGTATGGCTGCCAGTCCGCAGTATGCCGGTCACTTCCAGTCTGCAGTTTGCCAGTCGGTGGTTTGCCACTCCACAGTCTAAAAAGGTTGGGAACCATTGGTCTATGCGCTGTCTAGTCACAGCAGCAAACTTCATCACCTTACAGCAACAGCACGAATGCCTCCCCAAATCACATACAGAAGAGGATGGGATGGGGCGAGATGGAGGGAGAACAAGACTTCCAGATTTGGACTCAAAACAGCATGCCAGTCTCTTGCTCCCCGCTTCCCTGGTTTTCCTTGCTCCACAGCTGGACTATCTAAAGCATCTGGGTCCAGGTGCTCTGGCAAAAGGGTTCCTTTAACACAAAGGGATGGGTGCATTGCTAGCAAAGGCCACCAGCACAACAGCCCTCCCTTCCCAGAACAGGCAGAGGAAGGAAGGCATGAAGGAAGGCTGCCCCCCCCCCCCACTAGGTTACCCACCACCTGGCCCCAGGCTAGAGCAACACCCCCCAGGGGAGAGGATGGTCCATTCTCCAATTTTGCTCATCACTGACAACCAATGAGGTGGCCGGTTAGTCACAAGGAAGGCAGGGAATTGGTCTGATGTGGATTCTTGCCAGCTGGAAAGCAGATGGGGACAAGATCTCAGAGGCTGCTGAATAGATTTATGCTTAAGCATAAGCACAGCCGCTCTCCCCCAGCTCTCATGTGAATCCTTGATGTGTGACCAGCTGCATCCAAGACTGGGACTGCTTCAACTGTGTTTGTGCTGCACCTAGTACAATAGGGCCCCTGACTGCAGACCGGATCCTTTGAGCATCACAAAACAGCTAGCGACATTTGTTAGGGGTAGTAAATGCTAATTAGTCATGGTCACTCCCTGCTGTATAAGTGCATCATTTTTTAATACCTTAAAATGTAATGGATGGGGCTGCTGGAAGGCAAATGATTGGGGCAAATGCTGTACTGGAATAGGGAGGACAACATTATTAAGTGCAGGCATGGTGAAGAGCTGTGGCAGCAGCAGAGGTAACACAGCAGTTGCCAGACACAAGAGCTTCTCTGCACCGCTCCTGCCCTCCTAGGGGGACACCTCCCTGCTCCCCACACAGGAGTATGAGCAAGGGACAGACTGTCTCTACCTCCTTCTATGGGATTCAAGAAAAATGGAGTATTTGCAGTGCTTCACAGCTAAAAGAAATACTATGAGATGTTTCACTCCAGGTACATTCCACTTTCAGCTTCCAAAACCCCAGGCTGAATATTCATTTGGGACCAGACATTTCAGCATTACCTGCTGGCCACAGATTGAATCTGGGGCTGGTTTTCCAGCAAGGTTGCAGAGAGTTCACTGCCACAGAGGCCTGGTAGAGAAACCCCTCTTTAGCAATCCCCAAGCAACTCCCCACACCGTGCAACCAGCTATTGTCCCCTGCAAGCAGTGCAGAGTCCAACCAGCCCCACTTTGCTAAGAACCTGGCAGGAGCCTGATTTACAAGCACCAAGCAGGAGCAGGGGGGCCAGAGCCTGGCTCCGACTGGAGGGAAAAGAAAGGAGGCTCTCTCTTAGTATTGTTTCATAGCACCAGGCGTTTTGCTGAGCACTCTGACAGTCGGACCAAGAGCCCACGGAGCTTGCAAGATCAGCATCAGCCTTCCCTTTCCATGTCTCTGCTTGCTTGCTCAGCTCTATCGTATCTCAGAATAAAGGTTACGGCATATATTACACAGCACTTGAGATAGAAACAGGAGGCATTGTGTGCATTCTCTAGTTTACAGACAGGAGAGGTATCAGAGAGAACTTAATCCAACTTGCCTAAGCACACAGCATCCACTAGAGAGCCAGGATTAGAACCCGCTTTTCACCCCACACTCACTGTGCGCGCGCACGGCCTATATCAAAGCTGCTCCTTTTACAGGTGGGCAAGTGAATCTCAACTGCTGCTGCACAGAAACCCAAACTCTCCTCAGCTATTAATATAACTGCTTGCCTTGCCAGGAGGAGGTATTAATCAGACTTCTTATACAATTAATTAAAATACTGGCATAGATTTTCTGGAAATAAAACCACAACTACCCAGCTCATGTCTCCATACCTGGGAAGCTGGCAATCTGCTCACATTCTCAGGTTTTGCTAATGTCTTATCTTGGGGATTTTTTTACTTTCCCACATGGATGCCCATGTCATTGCAGCCACAAACCACAGGCGTGCTTGGCAAATGGGATCACACTTGGGGATAGTTTTGTTGCATCTCTCTTGGAGGGATGCAGCCAACCTGATATCCAGCAAACAAGCTACATTGGTTTGGCCAGTGTATCAGCTAAGGTGTCATGAAGGTAAAGTACTTTTGGCTTGTATCCTCCCAGGGCTTTACAACCACCACTTGAGGGCAATATTTAGGTAAAAAACTGGGAATTTCTCTCTCCTCTTTACTACAAGATTATTTGTCTGCTCTGTCTTGCAGAGCTGATGGTTTTATATACATTATTATTTTCACTCATACTGCTTACACTCTCAGAGATGCCTAGATTATAGGATAATTGTTAAGTCCTAATAAACTTCCCTTTTTCTCTCATGCAAACGTTTCTTTCGACTGTTACTGTGTAAGAAAGACTTGCACAAACAGGGGAGACCAGCAAACACAGGAAGTGCTGTCAAAAGTTGATAAAATATTACAAGTCCAACCTGAGTGGGCATGAGAAGGGAACCTCCCTGACCCCACAAAAAGGAAATCTGTAAGAATAAAATTTAAAAATAAATAAAATCTCTACCCCTAAATTCAGACCCTTCCTGCAAATGAACAGTGCCAAGGATTTTGCTGCAGTCACTGGGGACTTCACTACTGGTTTTAGTTGGAGAAAATCCAGCTGTCACAGTGACAGCAGCAGGAGGAAGCCCCCAAGACAGACAAGCAATTTCTAAATGAAGTCCAGGGCCGCTGTGAAGTATTGTGATAAAAAAGGGACCCTTCACACCTGTCCAGTATTTTCCTTGCTTCTTCCCCTGGCAAATCTTTGCCAAACAGGCTCTTCCCTCCTACTACTTCCCCAATGGGTTTTTCAGCCTGGTCAGGT